GGGGGGGCAGGTACACCGGACAAGGGGAAGATTCACGTCTCAGGCTGACGGAGTGGAGGACATGAGAGTTCATCACACTACTCTGAATGGTGCACTATTTAAAACTTATGAACTGTTTCTTTCTGGAATGTTCCATGTAATATGTTCACCAAACTCTTTCCATCCTAGAGTACCTTAAATCCTTCTATCCCCTCTGCTTGCTTTACTTCTCTTATTGCGTATGAATACTCCACAAGCCCCAAGTGCTCTCACCTCCCGATTCTCCCCTTCCCAATTCATTCTCGACAGGGCTGCCAAAGTCAGTTCTCTAGAATTCAAGCCTGACCTTGCCATGTCCAGGCTCTGTAAGTGGCCTCTCGGTGTCTGAAGAGAAAGTATTGACTTGTAGGTTGGTGCACAAGGCCCTTTGGTGACACTGTCCTGACCACCTGCCTTGCTCAGTCCCCAGCCCCACACAGATACTTAACTCCAGCTAAATTACAGTCTCCGGAGCTGTCATGCCCTTCTCATCTCCCTGTGTGCTCTGCCTCCACCTGGGAACTGGATGGAAACAAAATCACACCCAGGCCCATCCCCTTCACCCCCAAGGCCCTCTGTACATGTCTGAGTTCCCCACTGGATAAAGCTCCTTGCAGGCAGGAGGGTATCACTCATTTTTGTATATTCAGCACCTGCGATACTCAAGTGAAACAAAATTTTGTTGAATGAATTTCAACAAAATTTTGTTTTTGAAATATGAAAGAACAAAAGCAAATTAAATATTTTAGAGTTTTTAAATCTGAGTTTGAATCCTGGCTAACAATGAGTAGCTTTGTGACTATGGGAAAGTCATTTAATTCTTTTCAGCCTCTTTCTCAGGAATGGCACGTGGATAAATCTCCCCCACTTACTGTACTCTTTTGTCAAGAGGATCAGATATAGTAACTGTGTAAAAGTGCTTTGTCAGGTTGCAGGGGCTACACAGAATTTAGTTATTATTATACCAAACTGTCTACTAATACATTTTAAAAAATGTGCTCAGGTCAGCCTTCTACCTACCTGCTATAGCCTAAATGTTTGTGTCCCCCTAGAATTCACATGTTGAAGAAGTCATAATCCTCAGTGTGGTGGTATCTGGAGGTGGGGCTTTGGGGAGAAGCCCTCGTGATGGGATTATTGTCCTTATAAGCAGAGACAGGAGAGAGATGATCTCTCCCCCCCACCCCCCAACCCACACCATATGAGGACACAGCAAGAAGGTAGATGATTGTAAACCAGGAAGAGGGCTCTCACCAGAACCCAACCTTACTGGCACCCTGACCTTGGACTTCAGACAGCCCGAACTAACACACTGCTGCCCTATGTTGTGGGTGTAGCCAGAAGCTCATTCCCCAAATGTCCCAAACCTGTGTACTTTCAGGTCTTTATGCCCTTATTTCTGTTATTACTTTCAATTGTTACCCAATGCCCTTTCCTCTTTGCTGCCTGAGTAGCTCCTACTGATTCTTTAATACTCAGTCCAAATGTCAATAACCTCCTCTACAAACCTCTCCCTCCCCACACCTTGCGCGAGGTATGAGAGTTAACCTCTGTGAGTCTCTAGAGAGCAGGGACTATGGCCTATTCTCCTTTGACCTCCTCCCATCCATCAGGAATTCACGTTTGCCTGAGCATAAAATTGAACAAGCAAAAGTGCACAGAAAATATAAGAAACAAATCAGCGACACTGTATGCTTTCAGTTATTCGTAAAAACAGCATAGCTCTAGCCTTGTAAGTTTAAACTCTGATGAACCTGTCACAAGTCTTTTAAATATTCAGTTTCATCTCATTTTAAATGCAAACCCATTCATTCTAGCAAAGCAAGGTGTTCATCTTGCAATGACTGTTTCAAGTCATAATGTGTCATTGAAAATGTCACCACGAAGATTCTGGGACAAGAGACCACAGCACCTCTGAATATTTCCCATTCTCACTGTGCCCACAAGAACATGAGTGAGAAGTTTAGCTCAGATCCTGCACCTCAGAGTGAGATAACAGAGCGGAGCCCAGAGGGACTGTAGCCAGTTCCATGCACGTGAGTTACAGGCTACCCCTTGCAGAGCAGGAGGCGGCAGTGGTGATTGTCCAGGCCCAAGTACAACCCTACAAGGGAATTTCTGACCCTCTCAGAGTTGCCTTAAGGTTTTCCTCAATTCTAAGATGACAGGAGACAGTTCCAAAGAAAGTACATGTATATGAAAAAAACTACCCAGCCAATGATATACAGACAATAACAGATTTAGGCCAAAATTTGAGTTTGAGGTTTAGCTTAAAAGCAAGCAGAAGGAAATAAAGTTATCAGCTACTTACACTATCAGTAAATGATCTCACTTCCTACTTCACAGACACAACAAAGTACACATTAGGGAAAACTTTCGGTTTCCTTTTAGATCCATTTCCCCCAGTAACCCAAGAGCAAGTTGCCTGACTTGCTTCTGTAAAAGTCATGAACCAGCTTGTTCAATGACACCCCATTTAACTTATTAACTACTCTCCCACCTAAATGTCCTCTATTGCTTCTTACCTACAGTTAGGAAGGTGCTCAAGAGCTGCTCCGTGGCAACAGGCTTGATCTCTGTCCGAAGATTAACAAATCTGCCAACCACCAAGGGGGCTCGGCGGAAACCCAGAATCCTGGTTTGGAAGGTTGAAGAACAGAAGAGAAAAATCTTTGGGGATATAATTTAAACGGCAGTCTTAAAAATTATGGTTAATCATGTTGGATGTGTAAAGGAATTGCTGACAGGTATAAATATTTTTTAGAGGTACATATATATATGAGTTTAATATCAAGATGTATGTAACTTATTTTAATATATACTTCAGCAAAAAGGATAAGGCAAATCTGCAAGTGTGAATTATTGTTTACTACAGGGAGTGGGTCTATGGGTTCATTATATTGTTCTCTCTACTTTTGTTTGTTAGAATTTTTTCATAATAAAAATTTTAAATAAATTTTAACAAAGTTTAAAAAAATCGAAACTGGGTCTAAATTCATACTTGGGTTCCAAGCTTTAGATAAAACAGCACACTGACAGAAAATGATACAGATTAATCTAAAAGGATAAACCCACAGGACAAATTAAACATAGACAATTCTCTCTAACGGTCTAAAAGCACAACCTTATGGTTGAGCACAATAATTCTTTCTTTAAAAGAAATTTCCTGTCTAAAAAATACACATTCCCTGAAGAAACATTGGAGAGGCAGGATTTGGAACACACAGAAAATTTATAATGAAGAAAATAAAGATTGCCTGTAATTCCATAACCCAGAAATAACTACTGACATTCTGGCATATGAGCATTTTTCCTTTACAAGTATATATAAACACATACTCTTGCGTAAATACAATCTGCAGTTTTGTGTCCTGTTTTTCACTGATCATTGTAACATGAGCCTTTACCCATGTCATTACAAAGCCTTTAAAAATGGCTGTGTAGTACAGTGGTTACCAGAGAGGAAGGGGGCAGGGGAGAGGAGGAGGAAGGGGGGTCAACTGTATGGTGACAAAGAGAGGCTTGACTTTGGGTGGTGAGCACACGATGCAATATACGGGTGATGTATTACAAAACTGTACACTTGATGCATATCTTATTAATTAATGTCACCTCAATAAATTTAATAAAATAAAATTTTTAAAAATGTCTGTGTAATAAAAATCCATTGTTCAGGGCTGCTGACTGACTTTGTCCTAAACTGGATCTTAGAAAAGCCACAAAAGCAAAGAGATTAACAGATCTGTCAAAATAACACAAAAATAGAGAGAACCTCCTGAGGCCAGAGAAGGTGGTCAAATCCTGGTGAAATGGACAAACAGTACCCCAGAGCAGAAACGTGTCAGGAGCCAAGGATGGGAGAAAAAGTTAGGAAGTATGTTTTCTCCCCAGTGGCCACTGCCAGGCCAAAGAATGCCTCCAGCTTAGTGCTGAGGAGTCATGTCACAGGTGGCAGTCAACAAAGGGGCTTAACTGGGGTGGCAGTTAACAAAAGGGGTCAGAGACCAGCTAGAGAATGAATATCTTTCAGATTTTGAGGTACAGAATGACTTTTAAATACAAGACCTCCCAAAGCACAAGTCATAAATAGAAACATTATATTTAATTAACATCAAAAGTAATGATTTCTGTACAAAGACTACACTCTAAGTTAAATAGGTGATGTGCTGTGAAAAAATAAGGAGATACCAAATTTTGCCAATAATTGAGGAATTACAAAATAAAATAATGAGATACCACTTTACATGTTAGATGAGCAAAAACTGGGGTGTTGTATACTATGAAATATTGGCATGGATGTGGGAAAATGGCCTTCCCACACTGCTTGTGTCCATCGATAGGGAGATAGGAGGGAGCTTGGGGATGAAGAAAATCGGGCAACAAGTGAGCCTTGGAAAGACTGATGCTAGTGTACCATCAAGTGAGGAGTAGGATTTCCCCAACTCTTCCCCACTAGGTCTTAAAAGAGGCAGTGACAACTCATGGGATTGTGAACAAACATCTTAACCTTTTCCGTGGCATTAGATGTTTCTTAGGTTGCTACCAGTTTTCCACCTCTGAAATGCTACAGCTAAGGTTGTGGTATATGTATCTTTGAACTTCTAATTATTTCTCTAGGGTCCTTCCTAGAAATATCTTCCTAGAAATACCTTAGATATTTGCATTAAAAGGTAGCTACTCATTCAAAGGGTATGAATATCAAGGATTCTGACACATAAGGCTAGAATTCTTAAATGAAAGAATGAACCAATTAACAATGCCAGAGGCAGCATCTAAATCTCAACGGATTCCTGCCAATGAAGTTTTATTATTTTTTAAACATCTCTGCCATTTTCAGTAGGAGAAAATAGCATTTCATTGTTTCAAATGGACTTTTTGTATTACTGGTGAGGATGAGCCCCTCACCTCATATCCATTAGCAATCAATAATTTCTATTCCATTAACTGTGTCCTTAAACCATTTTCTACAAGAGTTTGAGTAGATGTACAGATCTGTATAAATATTTATATATTAAGGCTATTAATGCTTAGATTATATTAGATTCAACTATTTTCTCCTAGCTTGTTGGCATTTAAATTTTGTTTGATGTTTCTTAATGTGAGTTAATTTTTTTATTTAGTTGATTCTATTGAGCTTTATCTTTGTGATTTTTTTACATTATTGCTTTTTGCTCAGAAAATCCTTCCTAATCCAGAAAAATACAAAAATTTACCTTACTTTTCTTCTAGTTCCCTTACAGATTCATTTAAAAAATATTGTGAGTATTTCTTTAAAAGTCTGTCCACATGCCCTGATGAATGAGCTGATTGGAAGAGCAACTGGGATACTAGACAGTTCACTCACAAGGTTCCTGCTGAAAAGTGTTAATTTCCCTAGCTAACTTATACATCTAGAATTCATGTCTATTTTTCTTTTGGAATTACTGGGGTTATTGGAGCTATGCACATTTTATATGAAGGACAATAAAATTCATTATGTATGTCATGCCCTGTTTCTAGCATATGCGGTTAAATCAGTATTACTTCCCTAGAAGAAAAACAAAACAGTGTTGCCAGGCTCAATGAATGACCAGCTTAATTTAGGGATCTGAGTTCAAACCTATGTTTTCATCCTGCCATTTTATTTACCAATAACATCTTCACTCATAATGACGGACGGCAGACTAGAAAGAAATGACCCAAAAAAGCCTGGAGTTAAGAAATGTACTTTGGTACTGCTAGTACCACCCAAATTATGAGGGACTCATACAAATTTCATGGAATCAGTCACTCAGCTCTCCAAAGCAGGTAACAAGTCAAAGTTATCAGTGTTGTAGTCCTTGGGGGGAAGTAGTCCACAAGCACTCTGTTCCAGGACATTTTTGAGAGGAAACAGAACTTGTGTAACCCACTGTGATTACACATACCTGTCCAAGTGAAAGGCTGCCACCTCTGCATTGTGTCTGTCATAACCAGCGTAGGGTTCCCCTTCTACCACGTAGTCTCGGTTATACCTGCAGGGGGAACAGGGGGAACAGGAGGCACAGATGGAGACACGCATCACATCAGTACCACAGGCGCCAGCACAAGGGGCATCACAACAGAAGCCTCAGCAAGCCTGGTTCTGCTCTGCATCACCTTCCCGGTCAGCCCTGAGACAACCGTGGATGACGAGAGTCACTGGTAGGTGGGGTTAGGATGAAGTGGAGAAGAAACCAGCGTTCTCTATCACAGCAATCATTCTATTAATGAAATGTGGAAGATGTTATTTTTACCCCATCGAAAAGAACTTCAAACTACAAGGGAATTTTCTGGACGGCAAGGACCATCTTTGTATCTCCACAATAGTGGTAAAGCCTATAGTTGTTTGTTTACCAGAATGGCCACAGCAAAAGGTTTCTTGGGAAAAGGTCCTGATACACCTGTTTTTGTTAATAAGTAGTTGAGTGAGAGCTAGTATAGTTCTGTCACTACCTGCCTGAGTAACCTTGAGCAAAACTCTCTTCTCTGGGCCTTAGATTCCTTATGTACAATACCAGGGGCTTGATGAGGAGGTGATTTCTAAGATCTGTTTCATCTCAAACTCTATTCTATATCATACACAGGACATAAACAAAGGATAGTGAAACTGGCATATTTCTCTCTACTAATCATGAAGAGAGATACAATTTAAACCTGTTAATTGAAGAGGAAAAGACACTTAATTCACCTATGACCTCTACTGTTCACCTGCATTTCCTGTTTCAAACGGAGACCTATTAGGCCATACAGGGAACTGTCAACTGGAAATAAACTGAGACTGAAGTGAAGAGGAGTTGCTCCGCTGAGGACAATTGCGTCTCCAAAGCTGACAAGGATGTGGGGAAGTGGGAAACGGTACTAGAAAAGGCAGTGACCTTCAACATAAATGACTGTGGAATATAAAGTGAAAGCATGTCCACAAAACACATTTATCAAGGCGAAGTGATGAAACACTTATGCTAGAAGGTGGCCATGCATCAGCACCTGGCTGCACACCAGTTTCTTCTTTCTTAGCAGTGTCAATATACTTAAATGGACTTTTTTGTTTCTAGTGTCAAAGCATTATTTAGGCTACCTAGGATTTTACTAGCTCCATACAAATTAAGTCTCAATTTAAATAGGACTGCAGCCAAAGCTGTAGGCTGGCAGTAAAACTGGGGGACAGTCCTTGGATACTTCATTTTTTACTCTAGTGGTGCCACAGGAACACATGTGGTGATGAGCAGTCCATTCCTTTCAGTGAAGGAGAGAGCTTTCCATTATATCGAAAGGCTGTTTAGAGGGAAATGTAAGATCCTAGGAGAATCCGGGAACTCTGGGAGTGGACTGGAGAGGAAGGGAGGGGAGGAAAGGGGAAAGGACTAGAAATCAGAAGGAAAGAGCTGCACTGGAGTCAGAAAGTCCAGACCCTTAGCTCATGTTTCGGCTGTGAGAAATATGGCAGGTCAGAGCTCTGGGTCTCACTTTTCATCCCCAGTGAAATAAGTAGCTGGACTAGATGAGCTCAGGGTCCCCTTCAGCACTTCCTAAGACCACTCCCTCACTTCTACCCACTCCCCAACCCCTGCTATCTTGTCCTTCTCATCATAACAGCAGTGTGTGCCTGTGACAACCAATTTACTTCCAGAATGGAGACAGCTACACTGAGGGGGGAAAAATCACTTTTACAATGTAAGGCAAAATGTGTAAATAAAAGCGTCACTGTAGTCCTACATGCCATTTATCTTCCATCTTCCATCTCTGAGAGTAGGACATGGACAAGCAGGCTCCAGCAATGCTGGAACCACAAATGGCTGTTACAGAAAGGGGCAGGTCTTGCATTAGCAGTGAGACTCCGCTCCCCCTCTCAGCACAGTGATCCATCTTAAGTCCCTGACACAGCAGCAAAATTCATACAGTAACGGCCAATAAATCACTCCTACCCTCTGGTGAAGGACATTAGAGTATGACCAAGGATATTAATTTGCACTTACACGAGGACTAAATAGCCTCTGAAGCCCCCGAGGTCACAACAGCAAAGTTCTGGGTGTTTCAGGACCGGAGTCAGTATCTACGAGCACTTAACTGTACAGCCACCTTCCCCAGCCTGCAACAGTGCCAGGTGTAGCCAGCACAGGTTAGTGTGTGCAGGGACTCAGAGCACCATCACCACTGCAGGAGCCTATACAGCTTGCCAGGCGTGGGAGGACAGTCCCCCAGAGCTGGGAGTGGACACGGGCTGTTCAGGAGGTGGTAAGGGAGGAGGGGACCAGCCTGACAGAAATAAAGAGCTTGGTACAGAGAGGACGACTAGACTGTGAGGGGCCTGACCATTAGGCTGTGGATTCTGGATTTGGTCTGGTGAGCAACAGGAAGTCCCTGGATGTTTGAAAGCTGGGCAGCACAGGAATAATACGGGGATTGAGGGAAGAATAAAAGTGTTCAGCATGGTCTAGAAGAAGAAGGTAACGGGAAGGTTGTAAGAGAGATGAGATGAAGCGACAGTGACTGAGGTTAGTTTATGCATTAATCTGTGACCACCTCCCCTAGTCCCCAGCCAGGCCTCTCCTCCCTCCACTTACACCTCGTCTGAACACCCAGGTGTACCTGCAAAGCACCTGGACTGGTACTACTACTGCACACTACCAGGACTATCTGGCTTGTACACTTCCTGCTGTCCCATCTCACCCTCAATTCTCTGGTGTACAAACAATGGGTGTGGAGATGATATCTTCTTACTTAAACACAAAATGCATATAACTCATCTCTTTGCTGATCTCTCAGGTTACAAAACCAAGAGGTCGAGGACCATATTTCAAAACTAAAGTAGCAATTTTTGATGATGGGTGTGCCCTGTCATCACACTTACAGGAAGGCAAACAAACTTAAGAGAATTACATGTGTGCGGAGCAAAGCCAGCTGCTTACACTCCAAATGCCAACTCCATTTATTACTGCAGGTGACCTTGGCAAGTGAGTTACCTGCTCTAAGCCTCAGTTTCTTATCCTGGAAATAAGCACTGTAACTGTCCACAGTTGTGATGTAGGTTAGAGGCATTGACAGATACAAACGTAGTTGGTGCAATGCCTGGCAAATGGTATGCATTCAGTGGAAATTAGGCCCCAAGGCCCATATAAGTATACTCTTTCCTCATTACCTGCCAATCAGACTTTTTTTTTCTCCAAAAGGCTACCTCATTTTTTAACTTTCCTAATTTCCACACCTTCCATACATCATACTTCCCAGTTTCAGGTAAATGCAGATCCCTTCAATTTCTGGGATCCCAATATATTAGTTCTCTGGCTACCTATTATCTACTCAGAGTTGGGTAATGAAGGGAGCAAGGCGAACTACTCTGGTCACAGTTGAATTTTGTACATCTTTACCCTGTATTCTTCTCCTGCTCCATCAAGAGACCCAAAGTTTGTGTTTTAATTCTTTCAAAAGCTTCACTGAGCCCGGCTGGACGTGGCTCAGCGGCTGAGCGTTGACCTCGGATCCAGGCAATCAGGGTTTGATTCCCGGTCAGGGCACATGCCCAGGTTGCAGGCTCGGTCCCCAGGAGAGGGCGTGCAGGAGGCAGCCGATCAATGACTCTCTCATCATTGATGTTTCTATCTCTCTCCCTCCCTCCCTCTCCTTTCCTCTCTCTGAAATCAATAAAGATATATTTAAAAAAAAAAAAAAAAAAAGCTCCATTGAGGAGTGAAAAAAGAAGTTACTACCCCAAAAATGTTAGACGTTACAAACTTTTAGAAAATTCACTGGTAACTAATTCCTGGCAAATGACTATGAATCACCATGTTAACCTATTTCAAATTCATATACTCACAGAAAACTTTTAAAAAAATTAATTATACTATAGAATTGACAGACAAATTATCTCTGTAGATCCTTAGAGAAGTCCAAAGGGGTCACTGTTTAACAACATACAGTCCACTCTCCAGTTTGAGTGTTAGACTGAAGTAACTAAAATGACCCAGTTCTCTGCATAACACTAGCAAAAGAAACAATGAGATATCACCGCACACCTAAGAGAATGGTCAAAATCCCAAACATAGACAACACCAAGTACTGGTGAGGATGACGTGGGGCAACAGGACATCTCATTCATTGCTGTTGGGAATGTAAAGTGGTACAATCACTTTGGAAGACAGTTTGGTAGTTTCTTACAAAATTAAATATATCCTTACCATATGATCCAGCAATTGTGCTCCTTGGTATTTAGCCAAATGAGCTAAGAACTTACATCTACACAAAAACCTGCACATAAGTATTTATAGCAGCTTTATTCATAATTGCCCAAAGTTGGAAACACCAAGATGCCCTTCAGTAGGTGAATGAATAAACAAACTGTGGTACATCTGGACAATGGAGTATTATTCAGCAATAAAAAGAAACGAGCTACCAAGGCACAAAAGACAGAGAAACCCTGAATGCATACTGCTAAGGGAGAGGAGCCAATCTGCAAAGGCTACAAAAGGTATAATTCTAACCATATGGCATTCTAGGAAAGGCAAACCTATGGAGACAGTAAAAAGATCAGTGGCTGTCAAGGGCTGGGGGAGGGGAGAAGGGGGAAGGGAGAAGGGGGAGGGCAGGACAGGAGGGAAGGAGGGAAAGAGAGAGGGAGGGAGGGAGGAGGGATAGGTGGAACACAGGGGATGTTTAGGGGAGGAAGCTATTCTATATGACACTGTAATGGTGGATACGTGTCATTATATGCTTATCAAAACCCACAGAATATAAAACACAAAGTGAACCTTAATGTAAACTGGATGGTAGCTAATAAAGTAATACTGGCTTATCAATTATAAGAAATGTACTACACAAATAGAAGATGTTAATAGGAGAAACTGGGGAGGGGAGGGAATACGTAAGAGCTCTCTGTACTTCCCCCTCAATTTTTCTGTAAACATAAAATTGCTTTTATAAAAAAGTCTATTAATTAAAATAAAAGCAAAAACAAAACCCAGATGAAAGAATTATAGCTTTAGCACTAAGAGGGAGTTTAGTGACTGATCCAAAACCCACTCCAACTCTGGGTAACTCCTTCTCTAAAGCATGTAGTTATCTAGTCTCATAACTGTACACTTTTGGTAACAAGTTGCTTATTTTCTAACCAACTCATTTTGTATCACTAACATCTGGCACATAGTAGATATTTGATAAATTTAGAAGGATAGCTCTAACTGTAAAAAGTTTCAGTCTTATATGGAACCAAATCATGTCCCTAAAATCATGTTCTTAAATCATACTCAAAGACTCACAGGACATTAAGAGCCAGGAAAGACTTCAGAGATCTCTCATTTTACTGAAGAGAAAGTCAAAAGAAGATGAACCCTCTTATATAAATCCCAAGTTATACCCATCAACGACCTAGCACCTGTAACTTCCAAGATGAAGACTTACCTCTTAGGTTTGAAGACAACTTTCTGCCCTCCTTCAAGTATCAGTAAGGCTTTCAGTTGTGTCCCTTTGTAACCCACATCAGCTTTAATGATTTTCTTGGTGGCCATGGCATGCATGATTGCCCCCAGCTCTGGCGTCTCTTCAGGGTACACTTCCCGGGGAACCACCCACTGGGCTGCAATCTCCCAGGGAGACTGCAAGGTGTGGTCCAGCTTGGGTGCCAGCTCCACCTCCAAGCCAGCCACCATCCGGTGAAAAGCTCTCTGGTCCTCCCGGTTGGCAGCAGATGAATCTAAGTTGTCAATCAGGAAAACTTTGGTGAAGATAAAGATGACAAGGAGAATTGCTAACAGCACGACTCGCTGCTTCAGCTTCATGTTGACCTTTGCCTTCTCCCCTCACCCACTCTCTCACACGTATTAGGGAGAGCAGGTGGCGATGGTTAGCACGGAGACTCCATGATTATACACACTGGTCCATTTCTTCACTGAAGTGCCTCCCACAATCCCTGCAAGTCCAAGTATAAAGCAAAATTCAATCAGAAATTCTGTCCTTCCCCCTTGAAACTTTTACACGCCTCAAATACATTACTTACCCTTTTAGCCTTGCTAATCCTATGCTTGAGAAGACCTAGTAATTTAAAATTAACTAGTTTGGGGAAGGACCAAGTGCAATGAAAATTTAAAAGCAAATACTCCTGTTTTAATAGGATGCAGAGCCATCTAGGAGCCATTTGGACAGCTACAAATTCCTAAAACCCAAAACAATGAGGGAAAGCACAACAAAAGTAAAACATTAAGAACTGCATAACTTCTTAACTTTCATTTTTACCTTTCAAAATCCATAAAAGGCTTTTGAATATCCAAACCCCCAATACTTGGTAACTTTCCAGTTCTTCTCTTCTCCAAAGATAAGTTTTATGACACACTGTAAGACAGGAACTCCTAAAAATGCCAACGAGAGTACAAAGAGGACTAATAACTCCTCCGAATCCAAGTTCCCAGCAGTCATATCTGTCATATAATACATGTCATATCTGCTGGTCACGTATTTACATACGATATCCAGACACATATCTCTACTTAATCAGCCTTCCACCTAATTATTTTTCAAAATTAAAATCCCTGTAAAATATGGATAATCAAATCTGGAGAAACTAAGAAAAGGAAAAACATGTCCATATACCATCTGGCTATTAGAAAAACATGACTGGAACGCTAATGGAACCTGGTACTATAGCAACACGATTAATTCTGGACCGGTCAGGCACGTAACAAAGACACTGATGCCATAGACATAAAGAAGTGCTGCTTGCAGTGTGGGGCCAACCACACTCAGTCAATTCTCAAGCTAAAATATTCCAGATACAAAATCTGTGTAGGGGGTGTCAAGAGCATACAACCCAGTCTCATTTGCATGCTGACAGGTTGCTTTCCACCCCACAGGGCCATTTGAAAACATGCGCAAGCTTGCTCTGTGGTGTGCTTACAGACAGTGCAGCACTGGGCTAAGACAAAGACGACAAAAAGATAACAGGGTGTTGCCTCACTCTCCACTTAACAATGCAAACCATTAATTGAAGAAATAAAACCAACACAAAAGATAGGGCAAATGACTCCACCTGAGATACTCCCACCCCAACTGGAGACTGCTCCCCTCGTAACAGCTGAAACACATCCACAACAGTCTAAGAACCACCTTGAGGTGAGCCCGCTGACATGCAGTGTCTTCTTAGTGATTAACCAACTACTCTTTTCACATTAGTTCTCAACAAGCAGCAGAAAGTCAGTCAAATTCAAGTTCTAATTATCTCCAGCCACCTGTTTTGTTTCGTCGTCATCATTTCCCAGGGAGTGTATAACACTATTAGTTGAAACAAAGGCAATTCAAGTGCATCCAAAATGTAATTGTGATGGTATCAAGTTTAGTGTGTGTGACACTCAGTAAAACAGTTCCCTGTGATTACTGATAACAGCAATGCTGGGAGAGCAGATTGCAAATTTTTGCTAGTTCTAACACGAACTGAACCACACAACTTCTTCAGTTATTTGTCCAACAGTACACGTCTTAGGCTGCAGTGATGAAAGGGAACGCAGAAACCTTGCTGGGTCAGCAATTGCTTCCCCCACACCTCCAGCTGTAACTCCCTCCGGTCCTGGTACAATTCTGGCACAAAGGCGTCAGCTGAACAGCTTTTCACTTCCTATGAAACATCCTTCAGAACTAAAGTCTGGTTAACCCATAAACTTCTAATGATGCTACTCATTTCATTTACAAAAATAGAAATCCCCTCATGCTACATAAACATATCATATACATCATTTAGAATAATGGTTAGGAGTATTGAGGGGTGTTTTTTTAAATCATCAATATAGAAAGTTCTAGCAGCTCCAAAATTCAGACAAAACCAACCGTCTAATTCTGCAATCTGAGTGTGTGCTTTTAAGTTTTGCAATTTCATTAACCTTTGGAAAAGGCCTCAGAAGAACACATTCATTAATTCAGAGCTGCAAACAATTCATCCATTCAAGTGGGACGGAAATTTCTATCAAGTGAACTAAAGAGTTCAACTGTCAAATTATTTCACTATTTACCTCTGCAGATTAGCAGGTAGAGCAGGTTTAAAGAAGAGGCTCAGCAAGTTTTCATTCCATGATGAGTCACCACATCCGGGTAGCACAAGATCACAATTTGGCACTGTTTTCTCCGACTGCCCTTCATCCCCACAGCCGCCAATTTCACGTAGTGCTTATTACCTTCTACTGGGTTACTGAAAGAACCGCCTTCTGGGCCACCAGGTTCTCCAATCCAGACTTGATAACGCAGCAAAACCAGTTTTCTAATCACACACCACATCTGATTTCCACAAATTCCTTAGCAAGGCATTAAAGCCCTACCCTATCGATCTACGTGGCTAGCTAGGCATCACTCTCTTCTCAGCCTCAACCTAAAGGGCACCCCCCCCCCCCCCC